CATCTGGAGGATGGCATGGATTGCACCCTCAGCAAGTTTGCAGATGACATTAAACTGGGAGGAGAGGTAGATATGCTAGAGGGTAGGGATAGGATACAGAGGGACCTAGACAAATTAGAGGATTGGGCCAAAAGAAACCTGATGAGGTTCAACAAGGACAAGTGCAGACACACACCACACACGGCCCAACTGTATCATGGCTGGGATTCCTGACACACACCACACACAGCCCATCTATGCCACAACTGGGATTCCCGACCCACACATACCGTACACGGCCTAGCTGTGCCACAACTGGGATCCCCAACCGACACACACTGCACACGGACCGGCTGTACCACGGCTGGGACCCCCGACCCACAAGCTCCTCACGCGGCCCAACTGTGCTATGGCTGGGATCCCTGACCCACACACACTGCACACCGCCCAGCTGTACCACAATTTGGATTCTGTACCCACAGACACTGTACACGGCCAAGCTGTGCCACAACTGGGATCCCCAACCCACACACAGTCCTCACACGGCCCAGCTATACCACGGCTAGGATCCACAACACACACACACACAGCCCATCTGTGCCACAACTGGGATTCTCAACTAACACACTGTACACGGCCCATCTGTGCCACAACTGGGATCCTCGACCCAGACCCACCCCATACGGCCCAGCTTTGGCAAGTCTAGTTCCAATTGCACCACTGCCCTGGATGCCCATTCCCCTGCTGGACACAGCCCAGTGCCAGAGCATTCAGCTCCATGCTGGACCCACCTTACCTTTGGCTGCCTCCTGAGATGCCTGCTCTGCCTTGGGCCCACTCTCCTGGCTCCTGCGGTGGGACTTGGAACGCAGGTATTTTCGCAGGTTCAGCTTAATGCCCTCTTGGCCCTTGGGCTCCTTGGGCACCTTGCTCGGGGCAGAAAACGCCCTCTGGAACACAGACCTCCGGGCGGCTGCTTTGCTCCCCACAGGCTCTGGGGGCTCGGTGCCTGGGCTGCTCCTGGCCATGCGCACTTCGGGGGCATCAGTCTCAGGCTGGCTATGAGCGCGCTTCCAGTTCTGCAGTTTGGCCCAGCGGCTGCTGGCAGGGGGCATGGGGCGCTGCTCCGGCTCCGGCACCCTCTCCCCACCCTGGGGGCCCATCCGCCATTTGTAGGACTTCAGCGGGGATGGTGCCTCAGGTGCGGGTGGTGGTGTCATCTCCTCCATCTGCAGAGCAAGAGAAAGAGGGAATGGGACTGTGCCATGACAATGACACATGGTCTGGCCTGGAAACGGCACCTTGGCACCGGAGCCACCACTTCCCATGGGAATGGAGGCGGCAGGGGACGGGGATGGGAGTGGGCAGCAGAGAGGGGGTGGGAGAGGGCATTGAGGATGGGATGGAGTGGTAGATATGCTGGAGGGTAGGGATAGGGTACAGAGGGACCTAGACAAATTAGAGGATTGGGCCAAAAGAAATCGGATGAGGTTCAACAAGGACAAGTGCAAAGTCCTGCACTTAGGACGGAAGAATCCCATGCACTGCTACAGACTAGGGACCAAGTGGCTAGGCAGCAGTTCTGCAGAAAAGGACCTAGGGGTTACAATGGATGCGAAGCTGGATATGAGTCAACAGTGTGCCCTTGCTGCCAAGAATGCTAATGGCATTTTGGCCTGTATAAGTAGGGGCATTGCTAGCAGATTGAAGGATGTGATCATTCCCCTCTATTCGGCTTTGGTGAGGCCTCATCTCAAGTACTGTGTCCAGTTTTGGGCCCCACACTACAAGAAGGATGTGGAAAAATTGGAAAGAGTCCAGCGGAGGGCAACAAAAATGATTAGGGGGCTGGAGCACATGACGTATGAGGAGAGGCTGAGGGAACTAGGATTATTTAGTCTGCAGAAGAGAAGAATGGGGGGGGGATTTGATAGCTGCTTTCAACTACCTGAAAGGGGGTTCCAAAGAGGATGGATCTAGACTGTTCTCAGTGGTAGCAGATGACAGAACAAGGAGTAATGGTCTCAAGTTGCAGTGGGGGAGGTCTAGGATGGATATTAGGAAACATTATTTCACTAGGAGGGTGGTGAAGCACTGGAATGGGTTACCTAGGGAGGTAGTGGAATCTCCTTCCTTAGAGGTTTTTAAGATCAGGCTTGACAAAGCCCTGGCTGGGATGATTTAGTTGGGGATTGGTCCCACTTTGAGCAGTGGGTTGGACTACATGACTTCCTGAGGTCCCTTCCAACCCTGATATTCTATAATTCTATGGGGCAGCAGAAAGAGGGTGGGATGGAGGCAGAGGGGATGGGATGGGGCAGCAGAGAGGGAGTAGGAGGGGGCATTAAGGATGGGATGGGGCAGCAGAAGAGGTGGGTGGCATGGGGCAGAAGGGATAGGTCAGCAGGGGAGTGGGGCTAGTAATTGGAGCCTCTGAGATTCCGATGTGCCCATGGTGCTTCTGACTGCCCACCAGCCTCTGGTGCACAGGCAGGGGACATTAGCCAGGTACCCACGAGTTCCCAGGGCAAACCGGGCACTGGGGGAGTGGAGGGACTGCCAGGGGTCATTCTGCACTGCCAAGCCCTTGGGGGCACATATGTGCCTCACGGAACAACAGTGCAGCTCAGCTGGGCTGGGCTGGGCTGGGCTGGGCTGGGCATGGTGCGGGGCCTGGTAGCAAAGGACAGGGGTGTCCCAAATGGAGGCAGATGGTCCCCCTGGTTGCCGTGGTTTCCCTGGGCTGTGTGCAGCCCTGCTGACTCCCAGACCTGTGCGTGCTGCGCCATGTGTTCTGGAGCATGGCGGCCTGCAGTGGGTGGCCAGGGACAGCTTCTTTCCTTCCTCTGCTTTGGTGGTGCAGGCCTGGCTGGTCTCAGCCTAGGGCAGCAGGATGGATGAACCCACCCGCGCCCAGAGGCAGGTCCAGGCAGGCTGGCTTTGAGCATGTGAATCAGGCTTCCTCTCAGGGCTGGGCCCAAAGAGAAGATAAGGGCCCTACTGTTAGTGGCAGTGAAGGGAGCTCTCCTGTAGCCCAAGTAGGGTGACCAGACATCCCGATATGATGGGCTTTGTCTGATATGCACAACTATACACACACACCCTCCCCGAAAAAACAAAAGTGGCCTGATTTTTCACACTTGCTGTCTGGTCACCTGAAGCCCAAGCCGCTGAGACTTGGGATGCTGGAGTGGAGGTCACTGGCTCTAGTCCCGGGCAACGTTGGGTTGTTTGTGGTGTGTGGATTCACCCCTGTCATGGGCACCAAGAGCCTGTGTGGAGAGCGCTAGTGTTGCAGCCTGTGAGAAACCTGAGGTTTGTAGCTCTGGACTGTGGGCGCCCGGCACTGGGTCTAGGCCAGCTACAGCCTGGCTGCTCAGCAATGGGAGAGGGGCCTGGTGGGAACAGCAGGGGATGCAGGAAGGCTGGGGCAGGGTAGCCAGACTAGAGGGGCCTGGTGTTCCATGTCTCCCCGTGGCACCTGGCCAGGATGAGTCTGGGTCTCCCTGTGGCACCACAGCTAGGGGAAGGGCTTGCTGCTCCGGGTCTCCCCGTGGCACCTGGCCAGGATGAGTGCTGGCTGGGGGAGAGGCCCCCAGTGCTCTGGGTCTCCCCGTGGCACCTGGCCAGGATGACTGTTGGCTGGGGGAGTGGCCCCGGTGCTCCAGGTATCCCTGTGGCACCAGGGCTAGGGGAAGGGCCTGGTGCTCTGGGTCTCTCCCTGGCACCCAGGCAAGGTGCACTCTGTGGGAGGCAGCACGGCCCCTCCCTGCCCTGCACAGAACCAGTCCTTCCGCTTCCCAGGCTGGGCAGAGATGCCAGGCTGGGAGAGGTGCGACACTCAGGCCTGAGCTGAGCAGCCCTTGCCATGGGGTGCAGACAGCAGCACTTCCGCTCTCTCTGGTTCTTGCGGTGCTGCTGCTGCCCCTCCCCCCCCCACCGCCGAGCCGTTTCCTCTCCCCGCACCTGGCCCTGTACTCAGTCAGTTTCTGATGTAAATAAAAGGTCCCCAGGTTCCTGTGGCTGCAGGGGGGAAGGGGCAGTCCCTGGGGGCCTTTGCCCCCAATGCCAGAGCTCCTGGGGGCCAGACTGGAGTGCAAGGAGGGGCAGGGCTGGCCACAGCCCAGAGGCTGCCCTGAGCACGAGGGCTGCTCACCGGGTACCAGCCCCCCGAAAGACCCGTGGCCCCACACGTCAGCCATACCAACCAGTGGGGGAAGGGACACAATACCCCTACTTGGGCCACCCGGCCAGCACCACACACCAGGGTTCTGGAGCCCAGACACCTTACGTGCCCCCAGATCCCAGGTGGTTCTGCCCCTCTGCCTACATGGGCCCAGTGTCTGACCCTGCTGGCGGGGGGGGGACGGACCAGACCAGACCCCCTTGCACCTTGCCTGGAGTTCCTGGGGCAGGCAGGAAGCAGCGCCCCCTCGAGTGC